GACCCGTCGGCCTTGTGGTGGCACAACTACACGATTGCCCCATAGTATGCATCCGTCTTGTAGACTTAACTCGTTCTGACGGCTGAAGAATGGTTGAAAATCAGATGAGGTAGAGGACGGCCAGCCAGATTGTAAGGCTCTTTTTAGCCGACTTAGGAGAGGGTCTCTCGATGTCCACTGTCGAATTTGTTGACAGGTTACAGGCGCGTTGACTAGATTCTGCAAAAGATTCACGGTCTCAAAAACAGGTGCCCCGTTAATGCCATCGTCCACGATAGGAAGCCTACTCAAGGCGTCAGCCACTACGTTTGCACTACCTGTAACGTATTTCATTGCATACGTGTAAGCAGATAAAGTGATTGCCCATCGTTGCATTCTTGGCGAGGACATCTGTTGTATCCCTCGTTTTTCTCCCAGCAAACCTAAGAGGGGTTTGTGATCAGTGTGAATTTAAAAGTGTCGGCCAAAAAGATACAGGTGGAACCGATGTAGGCCAAACATTATTGCTAAGGCCTCTTTGTCTAGTTGCGAATAGTTGGTTTCCGCTTGTGACATGGTTCTTGATGCAAAAGCAATCGGCATCTCCGAACCCGAGGGCACTCGATGCATGAGAACCGCACCTTCACCGTACGGAGACGCATCGCATTTCAGTATGATAGGCTTTTCGGGGTCATAGTGAACTAGGACAGATGAGGAGGTAAGAGCCGCCTTTGCCTGTTCGAAAGCACTTTGTTCGACCTCCGACCAGTGCCAGCCACAATTCTTTTCAAGTAGTCGATAAAGAGGCTTGAGAATTGTAGCCGATTGATTCATAAAGCGACTAAAGTGGGTGACCAACCCCAGGAATGAACAGCATTGACTAGTATTGTTGGGGCGCGGCGCCGTCTTCAAGGCTTTGAGCTTATGTTCGAGTGGATGGAGGCCAGTTTTATCCACCCTGAAGCCCAGGTATTCTACCGAGGTGGCAAGGAAAGTGCACTTATCTTTCCTGAGTTTAAAACCGGCGTCCTCTAAACGTCCTAGCACGATGCTTAGAGTCTCTAGATGACTATGTTCAGATGGGCCGGTAACTAATATATCGTCAAGATATGCGCAAACGTGAGGTATATCCTTCACGAGATTATCAATCAAGCATTGAAATAAACCGGGAGCCGAACTTACTCCAAATGGTAGTCTTTTATATCGAAATAAACCCCGATGCGTATTGATGGTGGTGGCGTCTCGGGATTCCGTATCTAGGACGACTTGGTTGTAGGCATGCTTTAGGTCCAAAGTTGTAAATTGATGACCACCCGAGAAAGATGCGTACAGATCCTCGATGCGCGGGAGAGGATAAGGGTTCAGTTTAGTTGCTGAGTTGATTGTCAGCTTGTAGTCGCCACAGATACGCACAGAACCATCGGTTTTAAGAACAGGAACTATTGGGGCTGCCCATTCCGAATATTGCGCAGGCTCAATAATATCCGCTTTCTGTAGGCGATCCAGCTCTTCTTCGACCTTCGGTACGAGTGCATGGGGGACTGTACGAGCTTTGAAGAACCGGGGCCGGAAATCTGACTGAAACTGAAACTTAACAGGTGGACCGCGGTAGTGGGTAGCTGAATCGTCACGAAATAGATCCTTATGATTTACCAAAACTGAATCTAAAACCGGATTTACACCAATCCGATGTACATAGGATAGCACAGAAGGAATACATTTAATCAAATTTCGTCCAAGGAGATTCGGTTGCTGGCTTCCTCTCACCACATGAACCGGCAAGTAATGAAGTTCTCCATCATGTTCGACTTCGGCTGTAAAGACCCCTCGAACGTCTATGTTCTGTCCAGTGTAACTACGGAATGTTGAGCTAGCCGGTAGGAGGGAGGATAATTTCTGAAGAGAGGCCTCATTGATGAGAGTAACAGCTGAGACAGTGTCGATTTCAAACTTCACGGGATGGTGATCAACCGGAAGCGTGATGGTGTAGGGGGATTGGAGAGTAGCGTTGGCCGAAAACATTCTGAGTATCGCCTCACCATCCTCAGCTGGACTAGGGTAGGTCGCATGCGTGTTACTATTTGCTCGTCTTTTGGAGAAACACACTCGTTCGATGTGGCCGACTTTCTTGCAAAACTGGCATGCCGTCTTCTGGTGCCTACAGTCTGACCACCGGATATGATGCTGGCCACAACGGTAGCATGATGGTAGTTGTTTTGAGGGAGCTGAGGATCGCTGTCTAAGTGAAGACACAGCAGTGTTGACCAGGGAGACAGCCATTTCCGATTCCAAGGATGCTATCACTCCATCGTTTGACTGATTCAGCTGCTGAAGGTTTTGCCGCACGCGCTCCTGATGACTGGCAATATCACAGGCTTTCTCCCATGACAAGACCTTCTCTGATAAGAGATTTTCCCGAGCTTTTTCATCGCGCAGACCGACGATCAACTGCTGAACGAGCATTGCGTGCTCGAAGTTGTCTGCCTTGATCTCTTTATACCCAAAGTCCTGAATGGCCAGAGTCAGATTAGTAATAAAGTCACTGACACATTGATTGGACTCTTGACGCATTTGAAAAAACCGATAGCGACTGAGAAAGACGTTGTCCTTTCCTCCCCATGCTGACTCGAGTTTTGAGAAGGCTGTCTGGAGATCTATAGCCTTTTGTAGATTGAGGGCATCGAAATATCGTTGTCCCAAATCTCCGGGATTCGTCCGGAGGAGTTTCAACTTAGATGGGACGTCTAGTACAATCGTGGGTGACAAAATCGGGGGTAGTTCAATATAATCCTCAAATGTCTTCCTCCATTGCAACCATGAGCCATTTGAGGGCTTCGGGGTGTTCTTTGGCCAAAAAGGTAGCGGTGTAGGCAGCAATGAAGACATGTTCGTTAGGCTGCGTCGCCAATGTTATGTATGCAAAACAGAAGGCTAATTGGAAATAGGACGTGTACTGAGTACGATAGACAGCACAAGTGAGGAGGCTTGTGGAAACGGCCGGGTATATGGCAAGGGGAACTGTCAAAGGCTGATGGGTGGCTAATCAGCACAAAGACGGTGTGAACAGGGAGCCATGACCTTGATCGTTCGCTTGTCACGCGTTTGTGGCATGATGTCCTGACGGCCCGGGCAGGATACGCTGCAACTCTCACACAACATGTAGTGCTTCCACTGACTAGTGTAAGACTGGACAGACGTCCTTGGTGGCTAAATGGCAACCTTAAGAAAGAAATCAACAGGAAGCACAAATTGTGGGGAAAATATTGCGTCACTAGACAAGCTGAATATCTCAACACCTACAACACATAGAGACACAAACTGAGAAACCTGATCATAAAAACGCGGCGGGAATTCGAGAAGAAATTGCTACAAAAAGCAAAGCAGAACCCAAAATTACGCCACAGTTTCCACCAACGAAATACAAGGAACAGGCATTAAATCACCTTAATAAGGACTACTGAGAGCGTTGAGATTGCTGCTAGTAGGGATAAATCTGTGTATTTTTCACTGTTCTTCCAATCAGTCTACACAAACGAGGCAATATCCCTTCCTCTCTCCACAGAAGAACTGCCGACCCCAAGCGTCAGTGATATGCTGTTCTCAGAAGCATAGTCCGAAGAGAATTAGAGGCAGTGAACGAATCGAAGTCGCCAGGACCAAAACAGATTCCACCCAAGCTTTTCAAGAAACTTGCCAATGAACTTTCTGTGCCTTTGTCGATGCTCTTTCAAATTTCATTTGACACTGGAACACTGCCTATGGATTGGAAGCTGGCGCATATTACTCCGCTTTACAAAGGAGGTAGTAGGGCAGCGACGACGAACTGCAGGCCCATAAGCTTGACATGTATTCTCTGCAAAGTTATGGAAAGGATCATAAAGAGTGAACTGATGAGTGAACTGAAGGATCATAAAGAGTGAACTGATCATAAAGAGTGAAATAATCGAAATGTCAATATGGGTTGCAGAAAGGAAGAGCCTGTACGACAGATTCGCTGCAATCTCTCCAGAGCTGGACCCGTGCTCTCAACGACAAGCACGCGGTCCACATAGTTTTTATTGACTTCCAGAAGGCGTTCGACACTGTGCCACATCAGAGGCTGTTATATAAACTTACAAAATAGGGGTCGGTAGCAACTTCCTTAAATGGATCGAAAGCTCCCTCATGGGTCGACACCAGGTTGTGTGCATCGGTCAAAGTAAATCAGATCCAGCTATGGTCGAGAGTGGTGTCCCCCAGGGTTCAGTACTGGGATCCATTTTGTTCCTCATATATGTGGACGATGCTGCAAGAGCTTTAGACTGCGAAGTAGCAATGTTTGCAGGTGACATAACGATATGGAGTGTAATTCGGGATCTTGTCGACGAAAACAGACTGCAGTTGACCCTAAATCGGTTGAAAGAGTGGTCAAACCGCCGACTCCTGCGGTTCAGCATTGGTAAGTGAAGCATACTTCGCCTAGGCAACACAACCAGATCCGCCATAAAAAGAGACTAGGCGGTGCAGACCTACAAGTGATCGAAGCCCAAAAGGACCTCGGTGTGCTGACGACGAACTCTCTGAAACCATCCGTTCATTGAGTTCGGCATACAAGCCTGGAGACCGTGGGCGGTTGAGCATCAAAACTACCTCGAAAGAGTTCAGAGGAGAGCCACAAAGATGGTTAGGGGTCAAAGCGCCTTTCCTTATTCATTTCAATTCAGTTCAGTTTATTGAGGGAAATAGGCGTAAGCCTTTGAGTACCCTATTTGCAACGTAAAAAATGTGTGGTGTACAGATAGATGTTCTGGGCTGAAATAGATCGATCATGCCCATAATGGTGGGTCAAAATGAGAAGGAGTTACAGGGGGTGAGCTCGACTTCTCATCGCTCTTGGTCATTTCGGAACATAAATATGTCCAGATTCTTCTTAAAACTTTGTATAGATGGTGACATCACAACATCTGCGGCAAGCTCATTCCATGGTTTGACCACCCGAACCGAGAAGAAGAACTTCCGCACATCCAGCCGTGCCTGCTGAGTGCGCAGTTTTAACGGGTGACCTCGGAGGTTGGTCGTGGTAGCATATTCAAAGAAGTCCTCGAAGGCCAGACTGCAATCCAACCCCTTTACAATACGGAAGGCTTGCAAGAGATCTCCGCGAAGTTGCCTGTAACTCAAAGGAAAGAGGTTCAGATTTACTAGGCGGGTCGCATTAGGAAAGGAGCTTTGACCCCTGACCATCTTCGTGGCTCTCCTCTGGACTCTTTCAAGGCAGTTTTGATCCACAACAGCCCACGGCCTCCAAGCTTGTAGGCCGTACTCTAAATGCGGCCGGACGAATGTTCCGAATGTCTTAGAGAAAGCTTCTTCGTCAAAGTCCATAAACGCACGCTTGATGGCGTACAGAACAGACATTGCGGTTTTTGCCACCCTCGAACAGTGGGCGGATGGTTTTAGGGAACTCGTCGTCAGCACACCGAGGTCCCTTTGGGCTTCGACCTCTTTCAAGGCT